TTAAACCAATACAAACCTGGTTTAAATCACTTTACAGAACTGCAATATCTTAATTGATTCAGTAGTAAATCACATTTTGGTGAAGCCACAATATCCATGTAGTAAGCATCGTGTCCTGAACTTTTTCTGAAGGAAAATCACTGACCTCTCAAAGGGAATCTTGCAGAGCTAAAACACACAACTAAACAGTTTGCAGGTGTTGTCCAGTGGGAAATAGCCAGCTACAAGGACAAACAAATTACTGAGTAAACAGAAATGCTTATAACATTTCCCCTGTTGTTAACTTAAAAGTTATGCATAGGAAATGTTAAAAAGTATGATGGTTTAGAAGTACCACATTTCCTTGCATACAACACACCTTTTTGGAGTGTACATTATATGAGAGAAACATGGTAAAAGCAGTATCTGCTGCTTACTGAGTGAAACTAAAAGTGAAATCTAAACTGATCCACAGGAAGTAAAACAATGAGCATACTTGGTTCCCCAACTGCTGCTGTTCAGTCACTTTGTTACCCAAGGAAAGGGTTTTTTTTTCTTAATTTTGCCTTTCAAATACAAAGTGCATGTTAAATTTGGGGTGTGTTGTATGCAAGGCAACATGGTATCTTTGCTATCATTACTCTGTAGGAAAGTCATCAATTGCCCAACTAACTTTCTCTCCATGTCTGTTACTAGCCTGAAACGCCTAATGATGTCACAGGCTGACAAGTTCACAGCTGAAGAGGTTTGTATGCTTATGCATGTACCCACATGCATGTTAGTGTGTAACAATAATTATTTTGTAGGAAAGTAGCAAAACTATTGTTATACAGGTTTAAAGTATACTTCTTTTGGAGAGAGAAAAGTGTGTTCTGAAATCATTAATCAATTTTACAGGAAGAAAATCTGACATACCCTTGGGATTTAGGGAACTTTTAACTGGTTTACTTAATACTTATATGAATTGCCACTCACTCATTTTTCAAAACATTCACACTACAGCAGGGGTGGGCAGTTATTTTGGGTGGAGGGCCACTTAACGAGTTTTGGTGAGCTGTTGAGGGCTGCATGGGTAGCCCTGCCCCTTGGCAGTTGCTGCGCCCCCCCCGGTCATTGTGCGGAGCCCCTAAATTTTTCAGAAGCCCCCACAGGCCAGATAGAATGGCCTGGCAGGCTGGATGCAGCCCACGGGCTGTATTTTGCCCACCCCTACACTACAAAGACTTAATGCTTACAAGCCCACTAAGCCTGTTAAATGGCCCCTATTAACTTTTTGGACTAATTTAGATGCAAGAATGAGAATGTGCCTGCAGATTTTTAATTTTCATGATGGATTTTAATTTGGAAGCACTAAAACATAGCTTTGGGGGAAAAAAACTTCATTACTATTCTTTTCTGTCACTGATATGTAGATTGATCAGATGTTCCAATCTTCCCCTATTGATGCTGCAGGCAACTTAGATTACAAGTCTTTCTGCTACACCATCACACATGGAGATGAAAAGGAAGAATGAAGAGCATGCATTTTATTAGCTTCAGTAAAATCTCGCAATAAGTCAATAAATAAAATTTGGAGTCTGAATGGTCTTTTCTCACTGCCAAAAAAATCATGGCCTATTGGAACAGCATTTTATCTTGTGAGCTTATCCAATTAATAGTCTCGTGGTTTATTTGTACTGGATGAAAGCTGCAGAACTTAATTTAAAATAAACATGTGTGTGTATGTACACACACACACACACACACACACACACACTGTATTTACTATACACACACGCCAGTGCTGTCCAAGTTCTAAGCAGCTGGGCACCAAACATACTGCAGGCTGCATCTGCAGGAACCGCATGCCTGTGGGATGCACCTGGGTGAACCGCAACCTGCATGCCATATGAATGGCCCCATCCCCCACACTGCTGCACTGCACCATTGTACCACTGTACCATGCACCGGTATCCCCCCTGCAACTACTGCACCATGTCCCTGTGCCCTTCCTGCCACTGCACGGCACACTCATGCTCCACTTTGTAGGTCCTCCCCATTCCCCTCATGGCTTCATTGCACAACTATGCTGCTCCACCACTGCACCATACACTCAAGAGGAAGAGAGTTCCAGGGATAAAGAGTGACTCTCAAACATGACCTCCCATGCATTTCTCCCAGGTCATCTCGACATGTGCATGGTACTTGTAGGAGGTTGCTCTTGACTAACCTTAGGGATCACAATGGGCCAATAAGAGAGAAGGCAGTCCTTTAGGTACGTAGAGCCCAGACCACTTTGGGTCTTATAAGTCAAAACCCAGAAAACAATTGGAAGCCAGTGTAGACCCTGGAGCACTGGAGTTACACATTCCTAGTGACTTACATATGTTTGTGTTCTGCACCAGCTGCAGCTTCTGGACAGTCTTCAAGGGTAGCCCCACATAAAACCCATTGCAGCCATCTAGCCTCAATATTCAACCTCAGAGGCAAGTTATCTTAGCTGTAGGAGTCATTGTTATTAGATGCAAATTTTGACTTCACAGACCCAACTGTAAGCATTTTCACTTCCTGAGATCCAAGAAATAACTTTGTATGGGAATTAAAGTATTGGTGATATGGAGAACTACAGACCTTCCTGATTGTGTGTAGAATACACTGTAAAAGGCAAGAGTTTAAAATGCTTGTGAAACAGGCACTCCATAATAGCTGTTCATTCTAAAACAGTTTATTACTCATTTAAAAATAAATTCCTGTGAAACAATCTAAAACCAACTCCCTTCTTAAAAGACCTTTCAGGTCAAGCTTGTCACCAAATTTAAGTTCTGGAAATGATGATGAGCCATACTCATTTGAACTGAATACTACAAACTGAGTTATAATTTATGCAGAAAAATAACCTCCAGAAAGGGCTCTCTCAAATCTTCGCTTGCAATATAATTGGGATTTAAAACATACATTTATGCACTCAGCAGGATCATCTACAGCATGTTGAGTCACTTTATTTTCAAAACATTCTTGGATTTGCTGCATTAAAATAGTTTTTTTAGGTTATACATTAAACAACTGTGTCTTTAAAATAATAAAATATAGCCTCACAAGAAAAAAAAAATCAGGGAATCTGTAACCTTGGCTAATTCAAAGTAATCTGCAAACTCTCAATGGCATTGGCATTTATGAGCATAGCTATTGTATGGATCAGACCAGGATCCAGGGGTGGATCCAGGGTAGTGCATTTGCACTCCCCCCACCTTGATTCCTGGTCTATCCAAAATTTAAAACCAGCTGCCCAGCAGTGACAACAGCACTTCTATTCAGGCAGCAGTGCTGAGTCACCTGACTTAATGGCTCATCATAAATTTGCTTGATCCTTTTGAAACTCTTCATTCCACAGGTGTTAACAACCCTCTTTCCTTTTAAATGGTCTTTAATTCCACTACTCCAGCTATCCTTACTTCCTCAATACTGTTGTCTGCTAGCTGCTCCTAGCAATGTAGCTCCCATTTCACAGCCCTACACAGCTGCTTGTAGCCTGCCTACAGTTTTAGCTACATTAGCTCAGGTGCGGACATTTTACTTCAGGTGAACATTGGCTCAGGTGTGGAAATCACTTTCGCATTGGAGGCATTGTCCAGATGCTCAAGGTTTGATTTTGTCTTATGAATCTGGAAAAACAGACATACCTTTAACTATGATGACTCCAGGACTAATGAAACAGTATCTTTTAGTTATTTTTGCCTAGTGTTTCTGTAGATTATATGGTTTAGCAAATTAATGTACATTCCAGTCCATTTTTTTTTGCTACAGTTCTACACTGAATAACAGGTCTATGCCTCTACTTACTAATGATATTTTTAACTGGTGAAAAATGTGCATTATGTGATATGTGGTACGGCACCACACCATCTGCACCCTCCTTTTCCAAATCCTAGATCTGCCCATGGATCACACCTAGTTAGTATATTGTTCTCTCACCTCTTACACAAAATTCACTTTCGGATACACATATAGAACTCCCACTTAAGTATATGAATTCACAGGCATATTTTAGGAGGACATGACCCTCATTTATTTAAACATTGTTGATAACTAAAGAATGAGGGGGGAAATGTATAATTAAAGGACTTTTAATGAGGACCATATAAATTCATTCTATTGCCAGAACATATCACCATTCTAAACATTTATGTCCAGTTAAATACATTCATCTTTCCAGTCCAAAGATGAAACAATTGTTGTTCTATCTTTAACTTTAAGCAAGGGGGAGGGGAGTATTCCCAATACACTTTTAATTTTAAACATAAGATTTTAATTTCAATGAAGAACAGAAATAGAACGTGAAATGATTTTATTTTTAGTTGATCTGAATTAATTGCGAACACATATCAGTTGTAGAGCAGCATGAAAAAGGAAGAAACAAAACAGATTTAAAAAATGACTTTAATCATATTTCACAGTGAACAGCAACATACAATATAATGCACAACCCCACTGTAAACCACTGAATAACCAGGTACAAAAAATAAATCTTCATAACTTCAGACACAGTGCCTGGAATAGGTGCATAACACCAATGACTACTTTTTGACACTAAAGTGCATTGAACTAAAACAAACAAATCACAAGTGTTTTCTGGACTGGACAAAATTGTATAAATGTTTTTTCTATTACAAGTAGTGTATTTGTTTTTTTTGCTATGATATTTTTAGTAAAAGCCTATTGGGTAGTTTTAAACAGTAGCAGAGGTATCAGGCACTCATATAATTCATAATGCAAAGTAATGGCTCCCAACTCTGCAGACGTCTTCAGGGGAAAGGTACAGCCTAAAAGCAAAAATTCAGCAACTTCATCTTCTCCTGTTGCATCATTTCCTTTCATCCTCTTACTAGGACTGTCTGGCCTATAGATACTGAACTAACTCCATAGGTAGCTGCTAGCTAGGTAAAGAAAGCGTCAACTCCTTCACACAGGACCTGGGATAGATAGTAGAAAAATCTTGTGTTCCCTA